AAGAAAAACAGCGTTTTTCTTAAACTGTTGCCGCGTTTGATTGGTAAGGACAAGTCCGCTGCATCAAAGGCGCGTTTCACATTTGATCAAAACCTCCAGGCTGATAAAGTTGCCTTAAAGCTTCACTGTGAATGTCATCACCGCTTCATGGATTCTTTGTACAGCAGCGACGAAATGTCAACTTTCCTTCCAACTTGTCGGCCACCTTGATATTTGGCCGGCAACATTTGCTCGAATTTTGACAGCCAATCAGCGCAGCAGCGAAAAAAATTAAGCACATTAATTCGGTATTTAATCGGGGAAACAATCCTACGAGATTTTGCCGTGCTGAAGGTTGTCACTTTCACTCTGGCACACATTCGATAAAAATTTCCTTTTTTTGCTGGGCGCCGATAACAATCGAATTGGCTTCAGTGTGACTGCGTTTTCTATGCAGAATGCACATCCGCTAGTTTGATTAATCCACTTGAATTCGCTCGTTTAGCAATCGCAAGAAAATCGTTGAAATGCACACGTTCATTTAGAAGTGTGTTTTTTTTTTAATTAAGTGCGTTTCCAATTGCGCAAAATACGCAACACATGCCCGTTTAAGCACTGAAAACCAATTTCGTTCATGTCGTAATCTTAGTGGAACTAACTGATGTTGAAAATGCGGCAAAATCGCCTTTTTGTGCCCACTGATGGGGTTGAAGCGCGTTTCATTCTGGTGTTTTCTTCGATCCGATTATGCTTACGTAACAGCGCACCGGCGCCGGCCTTCTTCTTCTTAGGCCATGATAGAAAACAATCGGAGGAAGACCTTTTTAACTAAAAAAACTGACATGTTGTTAGGAGATCTTCATTCTTGATTAGTTGCCGAAACGTGTATTGGACCGTGAAAACTGATGAGTGGCGGCAAACAATCCCCATTGTTCCACTACGAGGATATAAGAGCGTGTTTTTCCCTAAGATCATAAACGTGACCGATTTCAAGAAGATTATCTCCTCTAGTTGGCCAATGGGGGAATCTGCTGTGCAAATCGTGAACAGGATGTTGGAGATTCCGTGAAATATGTCTCTAAGTACACCGCAATCCTTTCAAATACCGCGTCAGTTTGCACAATGATTAGCGGTTTTCACTGGAAGTTCAAGGAAGTCGTGTAGTTAAGGTTTCGGCCACACGATCTGTTGCCATCATCAAAGGCTCTCGGGCTGGTCGTGTTTGAGAGCATTCGACCGAAAACGAGCTAAAAGCTTTTGAACACAATCATGTGACGAATCGGTTTCCCAATTTCATGCCGGCCATTGGCGACCTTCACGTGAATTTGTCGTTCGTTTCAATATGTCACAGCGCATTACAGGGAAAATATTCATTGAAATTGGTTTTGTTTCTCCTTTGTGCGTTATTGGGTCAATCTTTATGGATAGTTTCGTCGCTTAGGATAAAATGACGTTTGAAAACCCATTAGCAGGAGAGTTTTTCCATTAATTAGTGACATTATAGGTGTTTTGTCGATAAAGCGAAAAATCATCGCGCAACCGTTTACGAAACGCCGGTGCTTTTGACCTTATTCTGCCACAATAGGAAGCCCGTTAAGACCGAGATTACGGCTGCAGTGGCCTTAGAGCTGCCACGATGCTTCAGTGAAAGTGAAAAAACAACCTCTAAGAGTTCATCATTATCAGCAGCATCTTTAAGTGTCATAATCATGCAATGATGAGACCGCTTAACCTGACACAATTGAGCCAATAAACTAGCTTTTTTTAATAATGCTATGCAATGTAAGGTTCGAAACGTTGCTAGTTTTTTTTGAGTTTGGTTGAAAAAGCTGGCAAAGTTCGTACATCGATGGTGGTTGGCATTCGAAGATCTATCGACGTTCTGACTAATAGACAAGGTTGCTGGTCGTTTTTTTTTCAGTGGAAAAGTGCCGATTTCTCAACGGATGATGAGCTTTAAAGGCACGAAGCCAGTTTTACAAATGGTGAGAAACCCGTTCTATTCATTTTTAGTGCGTAATTTGCCCGTTTTACAACTTCGAGTTCTTTTATAGGCGAGTCCTTAGATGGGCAACGTTCGACAGCATTTCAATGTTGATTTCTGTTTGCTTTGCAAATTTCATCATCCGTTTCGGATTCTGAAACAACTTGCTAGAAAATCGGGAATTGCGGAATCTTCGATCGCGGAAAAACTATTTTTCAGTTGGATTTAATAGCGAAATTTTGACCGAAGTTGGATTTAATAGCGAAATTTTGACCGAAGTTTGACTTTTACGGGATTTGAATCGGCGCAAGCTTTTTTAAATCGCGAAACACCGGAAAATTGTTCAAAGCAGGCTTGTGCTGATTCAAATCCCGTAACTGTCAAACTTTCCGTCATCGTAAATCTCCACTGGCTAACAAGCAGGCGGTGCTTGTTCTGTACGAATTGACGGATCTGTCAATTCGTACGAGGACGGACCAATTGACAGATCTCCAACCAATAGAAACACTTTCGTACCATCGTATCATCGTACAAACGGATGCATGGGACACGGGCTTAAACCCATTAATCCAATCAATAAATCGCCTAATTATCCTCATATTAATTCGCTGAAAAAAAATTTCGCAACCCAAATTGCCTATATGAGTCCGCCTTATTGAAAACTAATCAGACGGCAATAAATCGATCAAGGGTCAGCACTATGCGACTTTAATGATCTATTGCTACGTCCAAGCGCACCTGCAGCCTAAATTAAAACATGTTTCTTAAACGGCCGCTTGAATTTGTCAATTGCGCTCCTATATATCGGTTCAATTAAAGTGGTTGTTCTCGTTTTCCGACTATTAAAGGGGGGAAGTCGCTTGACAAACTGACCCAATAAACGCAAATAAGGCGACAAATTGATCGCGAACTGACGGCGGCAGCCACAGGGGCTGAACGTGCAGTCGATATATATGCTCATAAATGCGAAAATGGGCAATCCACGCTCGATTACCAAGGAATTTAAATAATATTAAGATAGGAAAGTGTGCATATCCTGTCCCCAACCGAGCAGAACCAAATATTCGAACCCAAGTTCAAGTTGAACCCATTGAACAGCAAGCAATCCTTGATAACAGTTCGTGGTAGCACGCCGACTCTTTTTGGCAACCGTTTCGCGCTTCGAGTTGACTAAGACCGAACTCAGGGCTTTGCCCCCCTTAATCATCATATGCAACTGCAGCGGCAGAGCGCATATTTTATTAATGAGCGATTTCTTATGTCAACCGATCCGAATCCTTTAGAAAAAGCCATTAATGGGAATTTTGCAAGTTCTAACCTTTTGGCACGGATTAATCGTGTCACTCGTCGACTGGATTTCCTGCAAAACATGTGATTTTTACGGCGGTTGGCTTGTGATTGCCTCATGCCCACGTTCAAATTAATTAGTGGTAACAGCTTTCTCTACAGGGTGAACCAAACCATTTGAGAACCCCCTAGGCGTTTTTGATGGAAAACCACCGGGAAAAACTGCCGTTTTGACCTTTGCGTTAATTGGGAACACTATTCACTAAGCACATGCCTTTTTAGGCAATTTCGCGGAAAAACCCTACACATTCGAAAGTTTGAAACACCAATTGTCAAACTGAAAGCCGCTTTGACACTGCAACCGATCTCAACTGCGGCAACGTTGCCAGTAGTGCATTATACCGAAATCATTCAAACGCGTCGATTTTTGGCTCACCCTATACCGGATTAATACCCGATGTTGTCAGGAAATGACCAAAAACTGTATTAATTGGCTCAAACGGCAGTGGTTTTATCCAGGCTTTGCCAATGGGACCTTTGCTTCCGAGCTGAAGCCCAACCCGGCAACTCTGGCTGGCGCTCGCGATCAAAACGTCAAGTTCTAACCTTTTGGCACGGATTAATCGTGTCACTCGTCGACTGGATTTCCTGCAAAACATGTGATTTTTAGGGCGGTTGGCTTGTGATAGCCTCATGCCCACGTTCAAATTAATTAGTGGTAACAGCTTTCTCCACGGGGTGAACCAAACCGTTTGAGAACTCCCTAGGGGTTTTTGATGGAAAACCACCTGGAAAAACTGCCGTTTTGACCTTTGCGTTATTTGGCAACACTATTCACTAAGCACAGGCCTTTTTAGGCAATTTCGCGGAAAAACCCTACACATTCAAAAGTTCGAAGCACCAATTGTCAAACTGAAAGCCGCTTTGACGCTGCAACCGAACTCAACTGCGGCCACGTTGCCAGTAGTGCATTATACCGAAATCATTCAAACGCGTCGATTTTTGGCTCACCCTATACCGGATTAATGCCCGATGTTGTCAGGAAATGACCAACAACTATATTAATTGGCTCAAACGGCAGTGGTTTGATCCAGGCTTCGCCAATGGGGCGTTTGCTTCCGAGCTGAAGCCCAACCCGGCAACGCTGGCTGGCGCTCGCGATCAAAACGCCAAGCTGTACAAACAGTGAGGTTATAACCAGTTTAAACATTAATTAACGGGTTTAAACTCAGCTTTTGACTGTTTACAAGTCAGTTTGCAACGGAACAGCCCCAAAGCAGCCAGCCAAATAGCCAAACACCGTGAGTATCTCCAGCCCATACCAAAGCCAACAATGAATGCCAGCTAAAAACCAAACCAACAAACTTTAAACCTTGTAGGAAAATGACGGACATTCGCAGAAGAAAGACTAACGAAAGGCAGATGAATCAGGCGATTTGCGACAATGTGTCCCTCCTGCTCAGGAGCCACCCGGGCACCATGCAGCTGAAATCCATATTGAACGCCAACATGTTTTCCAAGCCGAACAAATCGGCCTTCCAAGAAGTGGCTTTCTATCTGCTAACGGTGGCAGATCCGCAGCTGGCAAAGGAAAAGCTGAAAAGCTGGCCGCTGGTCACGTCCGGCCAAGAAATCCAGTTCCGAAGCGAACTGATCGACTGCGTAAACGTCCTCAACTCCAAGCACAAAAGTGCAGACCTGCCAGTGTTTCAGCCCTCGCATTTAGTGTCGCCCGGGGGCTACCGAATCGGGACGTTAGTGTTCAAACTTTCCCAACTGGCGATCAGGGAGCATTTGATGAGGGCGAAAATCGCCGTCACTTTGCCCCCAAGGATCAGTGCAAATCCCGAAATAAGGACCTGCGATATGATGCAGGTTCTAAGTGAAGCTGCGGCCGCCATTGACGCTGAAACCGGGGAAAAGCTAGTTCGGTTCAATACCAGCCACTTTCGCTTAAGGGAGCAGGCAGAGCTGCTGTCCTGTTTACTCAGGAAGACCAAGAAGGAGATCAGCATGTGCAAGAAAGAGCTGGAGGAAACCAAGGCGAAGCATGGCCCAGATGTTCCGCGGGTGTTGCAGTTGGAAGTTGCCGATGTGAAGCAGCGCGTCGCCAAAACGCTGGAAATCAACCAGCTGTTCCACTCCAGCAAAGCCCTGCTGGATCAGTTGGCCGGTTTAACGCTGAAGCATGACCCAGATAGCGCCCAGCTGCCCAACAAAGCAGCCCCTCTAAAATCCACTCGCGATGGACAACTGGACTTAATCCAGTACTTCCAAGGTACCAGTTGACTTCAAGTTTAATTTTCGTGATTACCACTGAGTATTTTCAGGGCTGGCCGCTTGGCTGGAGAAGTTCAGGCCAAAAATCCCCACCCTGTACCCAATCTATGTGAGCCAGAGCCTTGCCAAAGTCGAGACTCTGCTAACGAAACATCAGCAAATCCTAGAAGATCTCAAAGGCCTGGAAACCCAGTCAAATCGTCTGCTGCAGGAAAGAATGGGTTCTAAATAGCGTGACCTCACAAGGAAACCGTTTCGCTCAACCGCTGTGCTTTAAATCAACCGAACAATGTGACAAACTTAATTCTGGTCAAAAAATGCATGCGACACAACAGGTGTTAACGCACATTGACAGTGATGTTCAATAATGGCTGTGAACTTTATCCAGAAGCGCTTCGCATCCAGATCGTGGCAAGAATGGGCCTATCAACTGTCCGGCTTTAACAAATTGGGGCTCTGGCGAGACGATCTGGTGAATGAGCAGTGCGAGCCCAACGTGAAAGCGGCACTTGAACGATTGCCATCCAGATTGGTGCAGGAGCGCAACTTTCGAATTCTTCGCGCTGTCCAACTCACTATCCAGAAGGAAATTCTACCCAAAGACCAATGGACCCAACTGAAAGACGACAAACTCTATTTGACCCCGTATTTGGAAGAGCTGGCTAAGGAACAACGCGAACAGGATGAATGGAACAAGAAGTATTGATGCCTGGTTTATGTTTAGTTAGCAAATTAACTGTTAACTGTTGTGTATTAAACGACGCGTGAATTTTTATTGTCCTTTATAATCGCTCCATCGCTATCCAGTCAAGGAAAAATGTAAATCTGGCGACAAGTTGGAAGGAATTCTTTAAAAAAACCCGTTGTTTGAATCGAATTTGCGATGCGACCTTCAATCGCACCTCATCTGATTACTTCGCTTATCTTGAACTTTAACGTGCAGGAATTTGCGGTGATTGGAGCATGCAAAAATTTTACAATTTTACATTCAATTTTTTAACTGCCTTTGGACACAAATCCAGCAGACACAAAACTCGCATCACAATTTTTTTTTTTTTGTTATTAAGGGCGAGGTTTTTCAGAAAACGCAAAATTGTCAAAATGCCCCAAAAAGAAATTCCCAATCCCGAACGTAGCTTCGCGTCGGATCTCTCTCTCGCACACATCGGATTATATGGCGGACGCCAAATGACCATGACGTGGCTACGTTCCAACTTGCCACGTCCCCGCTAAAAAATATCTGGGGTTTTGACGCCAATTTGCAACAACCATCCAAAAATCGTTAATCCCAATAAAATATTTCAGAACTAAAATAGAGAAAAAATAGAATGCGGTTTGATTTTTTTTTCGGATGTGATCGATCTGATTGAGACCGAAATCATTTGCGGTGTTTGAATTTGAAAGTTTGAAGTCTTTTCGGAATTATCCTGCAAAAAGCCGCTTGCTGCAGTAGCCACCTACTCGGTCCCAGTGTTGCCAAACGTTGCAAAGTTTTGTCGCAAAACATCACGCGGAAAATTGGCAAAAATTACCAATGATCCAAAAAGCGACGATTTTACTGATTTTTAGTTACCGATAGTGAAATAAAAACAAATTTGAAACTTGTTGAGATCACATGTTCATGTCATAACTTACTTTTTTAATTTTTCTTTTTTTACCATAAAAATTATTTTTCTAATTTCGTCTACGATTTTGTCCAAATGGGTCAAAATGTCCCAAACACCGTAAATTTGCATAATTGGAAAGTTCCTGAGGGCGCAAGCAGTCAAAAAACTTGCATTCATTCGGTCTAAATCAATTAATCAGTGGTTACAGAGTGTTCGAGTGCACTTTACTAAAGAAATCAATTAATTTGAATCATTCAATTGGATTCTTGCAAATAGAAAATCCCATTCCCGAACGTAGCTTCGCGTCGGATCTCTCTCTCGCACACATCGGATTATATGGCAGACGCCAAATGACCATGACGTGGCTACGTTCCAACTTACCACGTCCCCGCTAAAAAATATCGGGGTTTTTGACGCCAATTTTCAACAACCATCGAAAAATCGTTAATCCCCATAAAATATTTCAGAACTAAAAAATGGCCAACTGTAACTGCCCGGTGACCCAGCCAGGGCCCACTTTGGCCTCCACATGTGGCGGCGTCCCGTTCATGCTGTTCATGGGACTCCTGGAGGTGTTTTTGAGGTAATTGGCCTGCAGGCAGCACCCAAAACCCTTTCTGGACGATATGATTTAGGTCCCAATGTGACTTGGAGGACCCGTGCGGCCGCCCCCACTCCACAGAAACCCTGTCGGAGTACGACTTTATTGTGGTGGGGGCTGGAAGTGCTGGATCGGTTGTCGCCAGTCGCCTCTCGGAAATACCCGAATGGAACGTCCTGCTCATAGAAGCGGGTAATTTGCGCAAACCAACCCCAGAACTGCAGATTAATTCCCAATTCCCGCAGGCAACGACGAACCGACGGGCACCCAGGTACCTTCAATGTTCCTGAACTTTCTGGGCTCCGACATCGACTGGGGGTACCAAACCGAGCCGGAAAAACAGGCCTGCTTAGCAGAGACCGGCCAGCGGTGCTACTGGCCACGAGGAAAAGTAAAAAGTCCATCCAGATGGAGTTGCGGTGGTTTTTAATGCACGTTTGCGCCTGCAGGTGATGGGCGGTACCTCAACAATGAACGGAATGATGTATATGCGCGGTTCCCGAAAGGACTACGATGACTGGGCGGCAATGGGAAACGAAGGTAGTTTTTCAGTGTGGAAATATGGGTCTTTTTTTTGTCCCAGTGGTACTCATTTTGGGTTCCAACGACTTTTATCTTCCCCCGCAAACAGTCTCGACCGAGCTCATCCAGACCTTTACCAAAGTGCAACTACTGGGTTTCTGGGGTTTTTAGGCCGTCGTTCGGTAGAATTTCTTCTTGACGTTTCGCAAGCACGAGTGGCTTGCATCTTCAGAAGTGGTTTGCTTGAACGCTTACA